GGCCCAGCCACGCGACGAGATGCTCTCTCTCCTTTTTTTTTTTTTTTTTGGCCTTTTTTAACCTCGGATGTGGCCCAGGCACTGCGGCCTTGGCAGACAACGCAACAAGGCTGAGATTGAACAACAAAAAGGCCTGAAAGGCCGTCCTGTCTTTTTTGCGGATTTGAACTTGGACGAAGAGGATGTTGCCGTTTTTTTTTGCCGTTTTGAACTTCTACGACGAGAACATTGCCATTTAGTGTTTTTTTTGCCGTTTTGAACTAAAAGTGTGACCCAGGAGCAGTTTCCCCCAAAAAAAATTGTCCGCCCCTATTTTGAAACGGGAAAAAACACCACCCCTCAAAAGGGAAACTGTGGACGGCGCCTTACGCTTCTTTTCGAACGACCTGGACAAGCTAACCTGCCCTGTGACCGGTCTCAGGGACGCTTGCGACCGGACCCTTTTTCTGCTTTCGGAAACCCCAAATGGACCCATCCTAGCAACGCCGTACTGCGCGACATTACCCAAAATGGAAAGGACACGAAACGACGAAATGCAAACCACACAAGGAGGCTGCGAATTGTCAAAATCGCGAAAGCAAAATTGCAGATTTTGCAATTTCGCTCACTCTGTGTGAGTATGATGACACCTGATTTGGGGCCTGGCTCCACTACTCTATACTATAGACTTTTCGTGAGTGACGCCTCGCTCCACTTACTCAAGACATCAACTCAGGAAAACACCCTTAGAGAGCTKTCAGAAAGCACTCTCAAGGGCACTCAAGATGCATCTAGAGTGGGCTGCCTGCAACACTTTGGATTTCTTGCGTCCTCCTTCCTACCCCCTRTGCTGCTTTTCTTTTTCACGAGTGTGCCTGGTGTCCCTTTTGTCAGAATGGGCTGGCACTGTCTCGTGGCACAGTAGAAACGAAAGAAAAACGCTCACGGAATTTGGGAGTGCTTCGAGAGTGTGGCCATATAAAGTAAGTGGAGTGAGGCTTCTTCTTTTGAGAGGTCTGACATCTCTAGAAGCACTCACGACGCTTTTTGCGATTCTAAAGTAGTGGAGCGAGGCCCTTGCTATACTCTAGACTATCACCACTCTAGAGTCTAGATCAACTCTAGAGACTTTTTTTGGAGTCTAAGAGTAGTGGAGCTAGACCCAATTTGTATCCCAACTCCTTTGTCCGTCTTTTGCCGCCAACCTGCTTTTCCACCCGCCGCCCAGTGGCGTCCAAGCCTAAGCCTTTGAGTGACAGCTCTCACTTTCGAAAAATCTGCGAGAGCGGTCTGTAGAGAGCAGACAACAAGGAGAGCGGACACGTGGCTCAACCTATTCTCCATGTGAAAGCACCCAAAGAAAAAGACTCTCAGGGGGACCAAAACTCTCAAAAATTTGAGGCATTCGGTTCGTGTTTTTTTAGGCATTTGATCCCCGTGTGAGCGGACTTCGTCCAGAAAGGACAAGGTCGCGACCCTGACACTTTGCACTCAGGGCAAGTGCGCTCGCTCAGTCACATCGGAGAGGACCAAACAAAAAGATGGAATTTGTTATCTTTTATTTTTCACACCAGTATAATGTGTGGGCCTTCGCTACAACGTAATTTCGCACTTCCAGTTGTTTGCCAGGCTGTCTTCTTTGTCTACGATTTTCTTCAATTCGCGAACTTAAAAAAAAGAAGGCGAAAGGTAATTTGAGACCACCTCTGGAGGTGGTCTCAAAAAGGGTCCTCCCGCCGCCCCCCAGAGAGCTGACAAAAGGGTCACGGTTTGAGGCATTTGTGTAGGGGGGCTCTCCAGTGCGACCCCGAAAACTGACTCAAAGTTTGGGATTTGAGGTCTTTTGGTCCTCATGTGAGTATGCCCTCAGGACATGCTCACACTGGGACTTCTTTAGTAATTTCGGGACTGAAGTGTGGCCAAATGCATCCAGGTGGGGCAGTAATGGGGTCAAATACATTAAAGAGATTGCTAATTGTGAGTAGCCCCTCAGGGCATGAGTATGCCCTCACTGACAAGGTCTTGATGCAGTGGAGCCAGAGCTGTTGCAAAACATGCCTCTCTCTCTCTCTCTCTCTCTCTCTCTCTCTCTCTCTCTCTCTCTCTCTCTCTCTCTCTCTCTCTCTC